TTAAGTGCATTAAGGATGAAAGGGAGCATCTCTTGGTAAAAGAGGATGAGATCCGACATCGATGGCAAGAGTATTTTGACAAATTGTTCAATGATGAGAATACGGACACAACCTTTCAGTTGGATGACTCTATTGATGACACCAATAGGCGCTTTGTGCGGAGAATCCAATAATCTAAGGTTAGAGAGGCGTTGAAAAGGATGAAAGGAGGTAAGGCGATGGGACTGGATGGTATCCCAATCGAGATGTGGAGATGCCTCGGGGACATAGCTATAGTATGGCTAACCAAGCTGTTCAACCATATTTTTTGATCCAACAAGATGCCTGACGAGTGGAGAACTATATTGGTACCAATCTACAAGAATAAAGGAGATATTCAAAGTTATAGTAATTACCGGGGAATTAAGTTGATGAGACATACTATGAAGCTATGGAAGAGAGTTATCGAGCATCGCTTGAGAGCAATAACGCGGGTCTCTATGAACCAATTTGGTTTCATGCCCGGAAGGTCAACTATGAAAGCCATTTTCTTAATAAGACAAGTTATGGAGTGGTATAGGGAGAAGAAGAATGATCTACATATGGTTTTTATTGACTTGGAGAAGGCTTATGATAAAATACCAAGGAATGTTATGTGGTGGGCTTTGGATAAACATAAAGTCTCAACGAAGTACGTCGGGCTCATTAAGGATATGTACAACAATGTTGTGACTAGCATTCGAACAAGTGATGGAGACACGAATGACTTTCCGATTAGGATAGGACTACATCAAGGGTCAGTTTTGAGCGCTTATCTATTTGCCTTAGTGATGGATGATGTCACAAAGGACATATAAGGGGACATCCCTTGGTGTATGTTTTTCGTGGACGATGTAGAGCTAGTTGATGAAAGCCGGATAGGAGTGAATCAGAAACTAGAGTTATGGCGGAAGACTTTGGAGTCCAAAGGTTTTAGACTCAGTAGAACTAAAACTGAGTATATGAGATGTGACTTCGGCACTACTACTCGAGAGGAGGAAGATATTAGTTTGGAAGGTCAAGTAGTGCCTAGAAAGGATACCTTTTGACATTTAGGATCAATGCTACAGAGAGACAGGGATATTGATGAAGATGTTAGCCATAGAATCAAAGCAGGGTAGATAAAGTGGCGCCAAGCATCTGGTGTCTTATGTGACAAAAGGGTACCACAGAAGCTAAAAAAACAAGTTTTATAGGACGGCGATTAGACCTGCTATGTTGTATGGTGCAGAATGTTGGCATACGAAAAGACGACATGTTCAACAGATAAGTGTCGTGGAAATGTGTATGTTGCGTTGAATTTGCGGTCATACAAGAAGGGATCGAGTTCGGAACGATGATATACGTGATAGATTAGGGGTAGCACCAATTGAAGAAAAGCTTGTCCAACACCGGTTGAGATAGTTTGGACATGTCCAACGGAGACCACCAGAGGCACCGGTGCGTAGTGGAATCCTAAGCCAGGATAGTAATGTGAAGAGAGGCAGAGGAAGACCGAAGTTGACTTGGGTAGAGGCGATAAAAGGAGACTTGAAAGGATAGAATATACCCAAAGACTTAGCCTTAGATAGGAGTGCTTAGAAAGCAGCTATTCATGTGCCTGAACCTTGATGGCTTCTGCTGGGTTTCAACTCTAGCCTACCCCAACTTATTTGGGACTTAAAGGCTTTGTTGTTGTTGTTGTTGTTGTTGTTGTTGTTGTTGTTGTATTAGAATCGGACTATTTATCGATCGTCGGTAGACGCAATATATTCAAAGTCTTATAAGCACGGGTCATATAAGTCCAGGCAAATAAACTCTGCATTATCTGGTAGTTAAGGGGCGATGGACCAAAAAAATGATCAAAATTTTTGCCTCTTTATTATTAGGGATTAGGGAAGCTATGAGCAGGTTTATTTGTCTGCTTATTTCCTTATCCTCAAGAATTTCAGAGGCTAACGAATTGAGCAAAATGGATAATCTAGACCTCAAGATGGTATCAAAATGATATATTGGCCCTTGTAAGCAGTAGGATCACTTGATTCCCTTTCAAGCCTGCAATTTCTTTCACACACTTGCTGATTATATGGTTATGACTCATGAAGATAGCGACAACAATAGAATGCAAGTTATTATCTCTTTCACATGCTTGCTGCTTATATGGTTATGACTCATGAAGATAGTGACAACAATAGAATGCAAGTTATTATCTCTTTCACACGCTTGCTACTTACTCCCTCCATCCCAAAACAAGTGTTATTCTCACTTTCCGAGTAGTCAATCGCTTTTAACTTTGACCAAATATATACACGAAAATATTAATATTTATACTACATAATTAGTATCGTTAGATAGACCTATTTTCATAATAAACTTATTCAGGACACAAATATTGTTAATATTTTATACAAATCTAGTCAAACTTTAGGCACGAATACCATAGCGACACTTATTTTGAAATGGAGGACTACATGACTTATGAAGATAGCGACAACAATAGAATGCAAGTTATTATCTTTGTCGCTGCTGATTGTAAATCTAAAACTTAATGAACCATGCACGCAGTCAGACCGCAAGTCAAAAAATCAACGCCGCAAGTTCTTTCAGGAAAAGATTTATTTTAATACATTAGGATAAACATTTATTTTAATAGCGTATGAAGCATAGAAAAATGTTCATTTAACAAACAACATAGTAATAACCCTAACAATTCACTTTAGCTTATGATACTCCATGATAATAAATTTCGTAAGTTGTTATTTTAAATAAGTTTATATATTTTAAATGAAACATTATGTCATATCAATATTGGAAAATAATTTTAAGCACCCTTTGATATATAAAAACAGTATTACACATATATAATCATATGATATAACAAATTTAACATGTTCAATGTCAAACTGAGTTTCAACTTAGCACGTGGAAATTAAACAACTGGATCTAAACTCTTTTTAATAATAAAATAAATTTTGAATAAAAGATAAAAAAAACACTATTGTTTCTACTTAACATGTGGTAAATTTTGCAACAACTTCATTAAAATTTGAATGCCAAACTATAAATTCATGAAGTCACAGAAAGGGATGTAACAAGCAAGAGTTTATATATCATAAGATTAGGTTTCAACTAAATACATATCACGCAAGAAAAAGATAAATACTATAAATTCTAACTAAAGGTCACCAATGGAATAACATGTTAATCCTCACAAGACTCGATAAGTAAACAATAGATAGTCCTAGAAAACCTCACAAAATCATGAACATTTGACCATCAATTCGGTATAACCTAATCACCACTGATATAATAGCTATTGGATCTATTCTATTTTCTAAATAATTACCCACATTTGCTATTGTGTAAAACAACATAAAGTAACCAATGACTTTATGTTTAAATTATCCACCTATGCCATTAAGAAATATGATCTACAGTAGACCTAAATTTGCATCTAATTACCCATGTCCTCCTGTTAGGATACATAGTTTATGTAATCCAATTTTCATCTCATTATTTAAAAAACTAAACATCCCCTCAAACTATATTTAAATTGTTAATGTCTTATATTACAAAAAAAATATTTAAATAACTATAGAGCATATACATTACCCACTTCTACCAATATTAATATATTAATATTTAATTAACGTAAGTATACACAACGTGCTAGCATGCATGAGCGAGCAATATATATATGTTATGTTTCATCATATAAAATTTATTTCCTTAAAAACTCATATAATAATGATACTAAAAATTGTTTAAAACCATATTAGTAATTATGACATATAATTTATATAGATTGTTACTTTAGACATATTTATAAATTTTAACTAAATATGTTTGACACGTGTATATTGATAGTATAACTATAACTGCACATATAATTTCTTGATAGGAAAATTGAATCATCTTGAAAATTGTAGGAGACCACTGGTGGCTATATTTTTTTGATCCTTTAAGATTACTTTAGAGTAAAACATCAATAATTATAAGGCTTAAGTATTACAATTCTATTAAGGTTAGTATTGCTACCTCCATTCGAGATCTCACTGCAAGCTCTATCACTTATGCTCAGCAATATGGTGCATGTTTCAAATGATTGCTTATGGTATTATAGTATTTAAGTACGTATTCTAGGACCTAAAATTCTTATTTTAAAAAGTGCAAAAAAGAGGATTAATAAAGATATAATAAACACAAGAGTTTTAACTTAACTTGAGGATAAAAAGGGTTTGTAGCAGTCAATTAGAATAAAATTTGAAAAATTAAAATTTAGATTCATGACTTCGTAAGGTTTCAAACTAATTGCATATTCAAAATATAAAAAGTGACGTGCAAAGAAAAAAGTGAATACAAACAAATTGCAAAAAATATTAATAAGTTTATGATAAATGGATATAAACTATGAGTTTTACTCTGTCTATTATGTCAGAAAATAAATAAAGAAAAAAATACAATTCAATATAAATAATTACTTATTAGTCATATCTATTAAATACTAACTAGTATTTATATCTTTTAGAATTCTAGCCCGTGTGAGAACATGGGTTGATGGACTAGTAAATATTAGTTGAGTGCTCAACTTATTACTCAAGTATTGGAATAAAATTCCTACCTTTGTTTCTTTGTTTGAAAAAAGAATAACATGGGGACATAGTGTATATATAGTAGGAGATGTCAAATTGGAAAAGCTTGGAGGAAGATGTAATAATTTGAGAGTGCCGGATGGATGTACTGCATCCTTGCTTCTTGTTGCCGTTGCGGTAGCTCTTTGTCACCATTCGTCTCGCCTTGTCAACGCTGCAGTGTGGGCTTCCAGGGGAGAAGAGAAGGGCGAGCCGGCCGGGCGTCTCGGCTTCCTGGGGCTCGACAGGATGCGCCTCCTGCTGGCGCTTGTGCTGTTTGCTAAGTCGCTGCTGCGGACCACCGGGTGCCTTGCCTCGCGCATGCTCCGGTAGCACGGGCGATGTGTGGTGATTCCGGCGGCCTGGGCGCTCATGTCGTACCTCATCCTCGACTACACGAGCTCCCAGGTCGCCGAGAAGCGCCAGGAGTCGCTCGCCAGCATGTGCGACGAGCGCGCGCGCATGCTCCAGTACCAGGTTAACGTCAGCATGAACAGCCTCCAGGCGCTAGCCATCCTCATCTCCACCTTCCACCACTCCAAGAACCCTTCCTCTGCCATCGACCAGGTACACCTGCTCTCTTATCAAAATCAAATTAAAGGAAGCTTTCTTCTTTCCGGCAGTCGCGGCGAAACCCATTTCATTTTAGTTCGTTGCTGCGGCCGGCGGCTGCAGATGACGTTCTCGAGGTATGCGGAGAGGACGGTGTTCGAGCGGCCGTTGACGAGCTGGGTGGCGTACGGGGTGACTGTCAACCGCACCGAGCGCCAGCAGTTCGAGCGCCAGCAAGGATGGAGGATCAAGAAGATGAACTCCTCCAAGACCAAGAAGCGGTCGCGGGGACCAGGGAACGCCGTGGACGCCGAGGTGCTGGAGCCGGCGGAGGAGTACGCTCCCGTAATCTTCGCGCAGAACACCTACAAGCACGTCATCTCCTTCGACTTGCTATCCGGCGCCGTGAGCACTCGCTCAGACCCCAGCCCCATCCTCCCCTCGCAAAGATTTCATCTTTTCCATTCAGAGCGCAGGCCTACTATGGCCGTGAAAAAAAAGCTACAGTCTTTGGTGTTCACCATGAGCTCACCAGTTTTTTTCTTGAGCATAAATGACACGAGCTCTGCCTATTAAGAGGAATAAATTTATACATGAGGAAAGAGGACCGATACAGCATGCCCAAACCGGCCAGGGAGTCCAAACAAAAGAAATTGAGCCTAGCCGCTATTGAATTTCAAACAAAAGAAATTAAGCCTAGCCGCTATTGAATTGCCGTGGCATGTGTATTCTTGAGAATCCTGCGGTTCCGCTCTTTCAAAGGTTCCACATTGTTTTTTTAATGTCACCGGGGATTACTCCCAACCTAAATGTATATTGCTCGTTTTATGTTTTCCAACGTTTGGGAGGAAAAATAACAACAGCAAGACGCCCCAGCCCCATGGCGAAGAGTGGCGGAAACCACAAATATACAAGCGAAATGCAAAGACTACCATAGCAAGGCACAAGAGCTCTTTGACGATGCCCCCGGAAGGTGGATGACGCCAAAATGTAATCATCGTCAGCCAAGCAGAAGCTTGGCAAGGTTTTCACCCGAGCCTTGTGCTAGAGGTAGCTGCATCATGACGGAGGGGGTTGTTGGTCGCCACCACACCATCCGGAGCCGTTCCCGGACTCGTCCGCGACGGTGGGAGGCACGCACCGGCAAGCGTCCATGCCTAGACGGAGGGAGGAGGGTGCCGGCCGCCGCCACACCGGGCGGAGCCGTTGCCGGACTCGCCCGCGATGGTGGCAAGCGTCCACGCCTAGACGGAGAGGGGGGTGCCGGCCGCCACCACACCGTGCTGAGCCGCGCTTGGACTCGCCCGCAATGGTGGGAGGCGCGCACCGGCAAGTGTCTGCCTGGACTGCTGGACGGAGGGGGTGCTGGCCGCCGCCACACAGCGTGGAGCCATTTCCGAACTCGCCCGCGATAGTGGGAGGCGCACACCACAGGTTCCACATTGTGTAGATAGGTAGACCTTGCAATCTTTGGGGATCGAGCAAAGCGAGTGCTCCCATCAGTCTGCCAGGGTGTCAAAGTTTACGTGTTGTGTCACATCGATAGTGTCGAAGTGCTCTAACGAGGTAGCAAGGCTTTAGACCGCCTGCGCAAAGGGGCCAGCCAAACAAAGATGGTAGCCGGTCTCTATTGGACCATTGCACAGTGCACAAGCGTGCTGATGAGGGCAGCCTCAAAGCTCAAGATTATCTGCTGTGAGGATCTCGTTCTGTAAGAGGATCTAGGTGAATAGTTTGCATTTATTTTCCACGTGCGCTCTCGATGTGCTCACCAATTGTCTTGTGTTGCTACCCTTTTTCACCTTGGATTTTTGCCCCTTAGTTTTTTACTCCGGGGCTCGATTACTCATGGTAAAAATATTGTCCATGTCACGACTCATCACGAGTAACCAGGGCTATCCATCCACTATTAATGGTACCTATTCTCTATGGCTCTTTTGCTGTTACAGGATGACCGCGACAATGTACTTCGAGCTAGAGAATCTGGCAAGGGTGTTCTTACTGCTCCTTTTAAGCTTCTCAATAATCATATCGGAGTGATCTTTACCTTCGCCGTGTACAAGTACGAGCTTCCCCAAAATGCCAGGCCACAGGAGCGCATTCAGGCTGCAATAGGGTAAAGCTTTTCATGAGTCCGGCCTCCTATTTCAAGTAAGAAATCGCCCACAACTGAAACTGAATTACCGCTGCCTCTATTGTGTGTGTGCGCGCAAACAGCTATTTAGGTGGCATAATTTACATTGAAGCGCTTGTTGATAAGCTGCTTCACGAGGTCGCGGTCAAGCAATCCATCATGGTGAACGTGTATGATACTACTTATGAGAGACCACTCAGTATGTATGGTTCGAATTATACAGGCAGTGACATGTGCCATGTCAGCACACTGAACTTCAGTGACCCGTCAAGGAAGCATGAGATGCACTGCAGGTGATCTATTTCCTTTTCCAAAGTGTTTTTAAAATGTGTTATCCATGTAGTCTACTCTCTCTCTCTCTCTCTCTCTCTCTCTCTCTCTCTCTCTCTCTCTCTCTGAAAGGCTCTTTGTATGATCTGTTTCTCTTTAATAGGTTCATTCAGAGCCCACCTTGGCCGTGGATGGCAATAATGTCACCAATTGGAACTCTTGTGATTGCTTTACTGATTGCAACGGCAATAACGTCATCAGTTGGAAATCTTGTGATTGCTTTACTGATTGCAAAACGCATTGCCAGAGTTGAAGATGAGATGATTGTGCTCAAGATGCACGCAGAGGATGCAGATATTGCCAAGTCACAGGTCATTAGCTCCACTGTGGAGCTGGAGCAGGATGAGATTGTGGACCACGTGGAGGAGAAGCTGGATGAGGCAGAGAGGAAATTGGAGGAGGTGGGGATGAGGTCCATGTTAATTACCATGGTTAATAAGAAATTAACGAGTGTTAGCATTCACAGTTTACCTTCTCGGTTTTGCTACTTGAACAAAAAGGTAGTGAGCGTTAGCCTTCTTGGATTGATGCTCTACATTCTTGTCATCGGTGCTTTTGATCTGCCATTCAATCAGAGTTTGTCTCGTGGTAGGCTGTTGATTGATACACTCGATGTGGAGAATAGTGACATGGTCAGTGTTGATCTAAGAAAGATGACAGGGATAATGACAGTTCTGGGCAGCAGCAGCAGTGGTATTCACACATCTCAAGCAAATATCAGGCTACAGAGATGCAAAATGGAACAGTCAAACCTCACCTGCTAGCACATATGTCACACAACAAAACCATGGAAGGTCTCCGGATTGCCTTAGTTTCAGTTACCGTGCTTGTGCTTGGCATTGCTGTCGTATGTGTCCTGCTGTGGGTGCTGTGGTGCAACCGTAGTAAGAAAGTGCAACAAAACGAACTGCTGGAACTGTCGGGAGGAATGGGGCCTCCGCGAGCTGGTAGCTGCAACGAGCAATTTCGCAGACGAGAACAAGCTCGGTCAGGGAGGGTTTGGCCCTGTGTACAAAGGCTACTTGCAGAACCAGGACTTTCATGTGGCCATCAAGGTGTTGTCTAAAAAACAATCTTCTCAACAACAATCGGAGCAAGGGTTGAGGGAGTTCAAGGCAGAGGTGAAAGTCATGACCCAGCTGAGGCACCGAAACATTGTCAACCTTGTCGGCTGGTGCGAGTGCGACATCCAGCAACGGCTCCTCCTTGTTTATGAGCTCATGGCTCAAGGCAGCCTTGACAAGCATCTCTACGACCCAGAGGAAATCTTAACTTGGCAACAAAGGTATCGAAATTGGCTAACCTGTCTACCTCCATCTCCCTCGCAGTTACAGCACTGAATATCTGATTGAACACTACAAACATTGATCTGTTTCATAATAATTGAACTGACAATTTCGTTACTCATGTCAAAACATCACTAGGTACAAGATTGTACTTGATCTGGGCTCTGCTTTGCTCTACCTCCACCGGGACTGCGAGAAATGCATTGTGCACGGAGACATCAAGCCTGCAAATGTAATGCTTGATGTGTCATACAATGCTAAGCTTGGTGACTTTGGGCTAGCAAGGCTTGTCGAGCATGGGGAAGAGCCACGAACAATGCAAGTTATCGCAGGGACACCGGGATATGTTGACCCAGAGTTCATAGCCAACCGCTGGCCTCGCACCGAAGTGGATGTCTACAGCTTCGGTGTTGTCCTCCTGGAGATCGCTTGTGGCAAACGGCCGGCATGGAGGCAGCCAAATGGAGCTTCATCACTACTAGCCTGGGTCATTCGTTTGCATGACCAGGGCATGATTCTTGATGCAGCAGACCAGAGGCTCAACGGCGAGTTCGATCAGCAGCAAATGGAGCGTGTGCTCGTTACGGGCCTCTGGTGTGCGCATCGAGACCCGATCCAGCGACCGTCCATCGAGCAAGCTATGGATGTTTTGCGATATGCAGATGCAGAGTTGCCAGTGCTTCGTGCAGTGTATGATGAACGGCACATTCGAGCCATGGAGGAACAAGCTTATGGCGACCTGCCAGTCGGGGATCGTTCTGTGCATGCAGTGAAACACAAGTACTTACTTTACTTACAAGGATTCAGCTTATCTGCTTGCAGAAGGATGACGGATTCTGTCTTGTGGATAGCAACATCATGTCTGGATGCTTCTGTTCGGATTGTTTTGTCAAAGAGCCTACCTGCTGATATGAACACATCAATATTTATTCAAACTTGTGTGCCGTATTTGTTTTTATAAAAAAAAAACTGCATTCTGTATTATGTCAGTATTCAGTACTCTCATATGTGATTCACGATTGGTGTTGTACTAAATTGGTATTGTGATTAACTAGCCCATCAACCTGCACTCCAGCACTGACTTAGAATCCTACATTACATAAGTATTAAAAGTTTAGTGAATAAATCTAGTATCTTTCATGTTAATCTTTGTAGAACAGAGCTCAAAATGCTCAGAAGAACAAAGCTGAATCTGAATGTGACCAATATGCATGTTAATTTCTGTAACAAACAACAAAGTGAAACCTCTTTGCTTGTTTGTCATTGAGCAGTAGTAGCACTTTCAGCCTTAAAATTACGAAACGAATGCAGCTTTAGAAAAAGGCCTGGCACATTCCTGGGCAACATGACAGGCAGACTTCTCACTAAATATGATGCCCATTAAATCATTCTCAGAGTTAGCATGAGTGCAGTACAAATGCAGAGAGGGAACTCTATAGAAATGACACATTGATACCATGGCAACAGAAAACAAGACCAAACTTTACTTGATCCAGATTCAAACTTAAAACAAACCTGAAAATAATCAGAATGAAAGCATGGAGTGCTGCTATTAGTGAATGATTCAGGCAGCGGTTGCACTTAAAACAACTTGTTAGGTTCAGAGAATGAGGCCCAGAAAGATATCCAAAGCATTCAGGGAGTTCTTTGAGAATGAAGCCTAGAAAGATAACCAAAGTACTATAACTGCCAAAGCTTTGAACAACTTTATAGGTTTAGATGTTCTATAAAGACTTGAGTTAACACTGTCGGTCTGTTTAACTAGTTCAGCACTAGTGCCCGAGGGCGGAGTCATGATTGGCACAAGGATAATGCCCATAGCAGCGAAGCCAACAACCAACAGTTTTGCACTAAAGAGTTTGACAAAATCAATGACAGAAATTGATAGAAACTATACATTCAGACCGGCAAGCTACAATGTAAAAATTGATACAACCAAGGGACCTAATGAAAACCATAATGTAAGAAGCACCTCACAGTGTTGAATTGGAGCAACCTAACTAGGAACCTACTTTTGAACAGCAAACTGCCTGAAACAGGAAGTCCAGAATGTAGGAGATACATTCATTGCTGGAGGCAAATGAGTCTACAGGAGATGTATGAGCACAAAACAAACTGTGGTGGCTGATTCCAATTGTAAGGGCCTTCAAATGTTAATAGTGTATTGACAGTTTGACACACGAAAAAACTGGGTAAATAGACGCGAGCATGTGAACTGAGGTAGTTATTTTGTGTAAGCCATCATTAGCCAATTGTATTCCTGAAGTTATGTCAGGTTTTGCTGTCGTATGAGTGAGCAGTTCAGTTGCATGATCTGGTCACTGGATGGTTGCTTATAATGTCCTTATTAGCTACCCATTAGTTGAAGTTCTCTCATCGCAAATTATGAATGCACACAAAACAGACACAACGACATCCTTTCCTCATTTGCAAGCATTGTACACCAAATGCCCAAACAATAGCTGATTGAAACGATCCACGATTTCTTCGAAGGGAAATCCACAGATTTCATCATAATGTGATAATCCCAGAAAGACCAAGCTATCACATTATCATTATTCAGCTGATATCACAGTCATACATCGCGGAAGTACAAGTTTACAAGGCATTACATCTCCTAAGTACAACATTATTCTAGCGGAATCGCACACAGGGCTTCATTAGAGTAGACATAGCACGTCGGCGGGTGAAGGCTCCTCCTTCACAGACTATCATCAGAGTAGGCGTAGATCATCAGCGGGTGTAGACTTCATCTCCTCAACCAAACTTGAGCGTAGGAACGAGACCATCTAATCCTTCTAACCTTCTTTGCCGTCGTCGTAGATGACATCCAAAACCTGCTAAATATCTTTCAGTACGATTTGTACTGGCCACTAGCTCCCACCCTATGCTTTGCGTATGCTTTGTGGTAAGTAGAATGCAAGGGTAGAGCAAAATGCCTATATATGGCTATAGGTTTCCTATGCAAGTTCATCAATATTTTATAATAGTTCATCAAGTTTTAACCCATCTCATCCACACGTTCACCCATCCCATCATACACATCTCACCACACTCTCACTCTCTAGGCGGCAAGGACAACTCCATCTCGTACCTTGCCTTATCGGCTAACAGCCGAAGTCTAGCACACCCAGGAAGAAGAAGAAAGGACACCTCTCACTAATCAAGGGAAGCGTAGGTCATAGAAATGTCCATATCCGTGGACACGGCAATACGTATAGATCGACCAACTCTGTAGAGCGTGTACACCAGGAACCACAAGATCTTCTATCATCGACGACCATCGTCGTCTAGGCTGATTCCGGGCTGCCTTCCAAACTAGTGCGATACCACCCTGCCACTCAGCCCTGGGCCACCCTGGAGTCCACCGACACGCTGAGACTGTGAGACGTAGTACCGGCCCCCAAATGTCACCACACTATCTTAGGAGCTACACCCGTACCTCCTTACACTATTTGTTATCAACCTAGCAGTAGTGACACCGCCCTAGTAGGTCAACATCCGTCCCCCGCCTGACTAGGAACGAGTGGTGTGTACGTAAGGTCCTATGATCCGGTTCTCTCGACATACCAGTCTTTAGGGGGACCAGACATGACATCTTCTCAAGGGGCCAGCCAATGCCTCGTGCCTCGACGGCACCTCCATCCCGGGGCTTCATCCCACAAAGACACTCCACCCCGGGACTTCCTCATCTCACATGTACCCGCCATAGGTACCTCTCGTAGGGAATGCCCAGGTCGCATCCCCTGACAAGACTTGTCCAAAGACTTCGTCGTAGAATCCTGTCCAGTCGACTCAACCCTCACCACTAGGGCTGGATATCGAGCCAGCTCGGCTCGGCTCGGTCCAGCTCGAGCTGGCTCATTAGGATAACGAGCCAGCTCGTCTCGTCTCGTTAATATTATGAGCTAGAGGGGCAGCTCAGCTCGGCTCGTTAGCAAGCTCGAGCTGGCTTGTTTAGCTCACGAGCTACTAAAAAATAGGACACACATGTTTATAATGTTCATGTCATAATAATTTCAGAAGGTGACGTCCACCATTATGCAACCATACATGATTAATACATATCAGGTTCATCAAAAGTATCAACCATGCAACATAGCTGGTCCATCCATGATCCATGCAGTTCCAGCATACTTACTAGTTGCTTGCCACCACAGACTTAGGAAAGTCCACAAATTCAATGTCATCATCTTCTCCCTGGAAAACAATCCATAAATCAACATTTAAGTACCACAACAATTATAAAATCAAAATTCATATGAAACAGATGAAAATAAGGATTCCATATCAATGAAATAGGTGTACACTTCTAGGTCAGCATCATCATCTTCTAAATTCATGGTCGTGGGCTGATAGGCCTCAGCTCGTTTGAGCTCGTGAGCAGCTCACGAGCTGGCTCATTAAAATAGTAAGCTAGACTTCTAGCTCAGCTCGTGAAAAAGTTAAAACGAGCCGAGCCGAGTAGAGCCAAGCCGGACATGAGTCGAGCGAGTTGGCGAGCCACGAGTATTTTGTCCAACCCTACTCACCACACACCCAAGACGTACGCCAAGATCTCTCCAAGTTGTTATCATATTATTACCATATTATCGGCATCATGTGCCTTAGCCACTCACAAATAATCCTCCACCAAGCATCACATCACAGATATAATACGTAGTAGAAGCAAGTAGTATGTAGTATACGAGCGTCTATCCTATCAGCGGGTGTGCAGGGGTAAAGGTTGCATCAAGGTAATGGCCTCCAAGCAATTCTACCATGCAACATATTACATATCATTTGCATGAAAGTAAAGCACTAGCAGCTACATTATCGCATGTCTAATAGGGTTCTACGAGGTTGGGTGTGATGTGGCACCTGTTGATTGGTCATCTCCGAGATCCTCAGCGTACTCGTAGCTATTCTCCCCAAGGTCCTACTGTCGTACGCACTTCTTTCCTCCAATGGGTTCCGGTCCGATCAACGCTATCCTCGATGCAACTACCTCGATAGATCGACAAGCAAGACAGAAAGCAATCAATACTCTAAAAATACAATAAGACACGGAAGAACAACTACACCAAAAGAACACCAAGGGAAAACGACTTAGCCCTCTCGGCGGATGTTAGATCCCTAGGTGAAAAGAAACAGAAGTGGTTGTTTGCTAAGCACTAGCTTAAGTCTTAGCCTAGCTAGTACTTCCAGGGTCGATTGTGTCGACCTATACAGCTTCAATAAAAATGGCATAGACCCTAGCTCATCTTAAGCGAACACCACGGCTCGTGGTCTTCTGATCCAGGCATCATGGAGATTGACGGGAATCGAGAAGAACGGCTAAGGGGGAAAGGAAGTAGTTCCGGTCTCTCTCTCAATCCATATGCCATTATAATTGACAAGAACCAAGAGAGGGTGGAACGGGGGAGAAAAGAGAAGGGAGGTGGTATACTTCTTCCAATCCACATGCCACGGCAAGAGACGGGGCATCGAAAGGAGCGACACACAAGAGAACACGAGTGCCTAACTACTTGTAGGGTACCATGACCTAGGTGCACTGAATACACTAAGACATCCCTAGGGTTCTTAGCGGTGCGGTTGTCACCGCAAGAATGAAAGAAATGCTATGGTCTGAATAGGTACAAGCATACAAGGGCTTAAGCACGACAGAACCAAAAAGAGGGGGACACATGATTCAGCTTTGTAGGATCTCTGGTTGGCCTAGAGAGGGGTGAATAGGCCTATCAAAATAAACACTCAAACTTTTATCAAATTCACCCTGCGACACTGCTGGACTATGGCACTACAGGGCTAGAACAGCGGCACTGCCGCACCTGCAGACAACTTCGAGTCACAGTTCAAAATCTATGAACAAAAACTTAGATCGGAGAAATTTCCTAGCTTACTGCAGGTATGACAATCATAGATCAAGAGCTAGAAGTAGTAGGAACACCACACACAAGTAGATCGACTAGAAACTCTAAA